GCATGGAAAAAAAGGCGATTATATGATCAATTTGCAGAATTTATATAGCAGCGGCAGTTTTTAATGCAACGTTGCCTAATAATTAATGTGCTTACAAGTAAACAAATAGAACAACGTGCAGAATATCTGGCAGTTAAGTAATATTTCGGCCTCTACTCATGGGTAATTTATGGAAATTCCTTACATTTCTTTTTTTGCTATAATGTTATAAATTTGAAGCTATCTGAATGTCTGAGAAATCTTTTTATCGAGTCGATGACTGCTGCGCATTTTGTGGATGCCGAAGGAGATTCGGATCCGTCGAATAGGTTTTGCACTGAGGACACATCCAAGTGACTGATGTACAAGTCGAGGTAGCCTTACACCTGAGTGAAACGGCACATTATTCTCTGAGCTAGAACCACTGTCATAAAGTTCTGTTTTTGGAGTTTAGGCTTTATCGGAGGCAGTAAACTAACCTAGCGCAGTGATGGGGCTGCATACCGGGTTCATCGAGAAGTACCGCGAGTCGATCCAGCATAGCAGCTCGAGCTCGAGTTGAAAGGCAATCATCTGGGAAGGTAACGATCCATTACATTGACTTAACAGCCCTCAGCATAAATAATGAAAGCGAAAAATATGGCATGGCTGGTTTAGAAACCTCTTTGCGTGAATGTCTTGTGACTGCGAAAGTGATCAGCACGCCACCACAAAGGCCAATAGCCATGATGCGGCCGAGACAGTTGAGAAGTAAAAACGATGCGTGTCGCGACGGTCACGGCCGCTTTGTTCCGACTTCCGGATGATGTGAGGTGGTGGCCGAGAAAGGCTACAACTGGGAATTGGCTCCGTAGCACACCAAGACGATATCATCCCCTGCGAAGTTACCCCGACGCTCGAGCCTCACAACATCTACCTGGTCAATGCCCCAGTGACGGATTTCTGACAATTACATAAACTTCGACACACATGTACGTGTTGTATGCATTAAGTACGCTTAGCACAGCAGTGATTGTCGGTCCATCTCTGAGGACGAAAATGTCGAGATGAGTAAATTTTTTGAAAAATTGCCTGAGCAACAGCTACGAGCACATTGCGACTGTGACATAAAATTTCTAGGATTAGAGCCTCGTTCCCTGCCTTGAAATTCGACAGAGAAAATAACTGCTCTAGTTACCGACGGTACATGAGACGTCCATGTCCTGTCCCACTGCCACGACGCTTCAAATAACATGCTCTCCATCGCAGAGACGACTAACGGTGATAGGGGATATGGGTGGAGTGACCGGGCAGGAATGAAGATGGAAGAAATGATCAAGGATTGGGAGCTTAGAAAATCGAGACGTGAAGAAGTGCTTTGATGGTATAAGTCGGAGTAATCGACTTATGACTGCCACGTGTGTTCCTCTATCTGACTGTCGACCACG